TGTTTAATGCTTATGATAAATGGTGTTGGTCCTGGGGAGTGGCAGCATGTAGCTGTTTGGTAACTTGTTTTGCTGTTTGTTTTTAACGCTGGCTTCAACTGATACTGAAGTTAATGAGGGGGGGGTGATTGTCACTGATGAGGTGGATTTTAGGATTTATTCAGAATCAGAAGTGATTATTTGGATGGCTCGCTTTCTTGCTTGCATCTTTTTCCTCTGCCTCTCAAAGGGATTCATGTGGGTTTTGATGGACTTGCAAAGTCTACTCTTTCCTTTGCTGAGGCAATGGGAAATACTCCAGTGACAGCATTGTTCAGGTTTCTCTCCTCCGGCACTTGACTTCACTCTGATTTGAGAGAGAGAGAGACAGACACAGAGAGAAAGAGAGAGAGACAGAGAGAGAAGAGGGGGGGAGGAGTGGTGATTGAGCGCAAAGGGGGCAGGACTTTTTCTCTCCGGGTCCTATTAAGAGCAAACTTTGTGTTTTTGTTCTCCAAGTTCAGCTCAGTGCTCTCCAGCCTGCACACAGTTCCTTTCTGCTGCTCCTTTTCGTTTCCATTTATTATTTTTTTCTTCTCCTCAATGGTTTTGTTTGCTCGCCTGTTGGTTACTACTGTGCGCTTTTTCATGGGGGATTTGGACACCGGGAGGATGCGCTTTTTGGGGGAACAAACGCTCAAAGTTGTCTTTTCAGCCAGCCCCGGGTTGTTTTAGTAGATACATAGATGTTCTTCGGGTTGGAATGAACAATGGTGCGGATCCTTGGTGCTCTGGCCGAGGGCATGCTCTGGTTTCGGCTACTGTTGTTGTGCGTCGTGGAGTTGGAGCTGGGAGCGGGGCTTTCTACTTTCCAGGGTTTCTATCTTCCACCTGCGAACGGGTCGCTTCTCACACCTGCTCGGAGGACAGACGGGGTCGTGCGGACCATTGACCGGATTTACCACGGAGGAGGGAAGGTGGGCTACCTGGTGTACCTGGATGGGAGCCGGTTTCAGCTGGACATGGAGCGGGACGAGTTGGTGCTGTCGCATCACTTCAGCCCCCAGTATGTGCTCGCTATGATGGGGAACAGCCCCGCGGCTTTGCAGCGGGAGTGTGCGTACCGCGGGACAGTGGACTCCAACCCGGAGTCCCTGGCCGTCTTCAACCTCTGCGGCGGGGGTCTCGAGGGCTTCTTCGCCGTGGACCACGCGCGCTACACCATCACGCCTATCATCAGGGCGAAGGGACACGAGCACGACGTGCGCGCCCTGCAGGACAAGGACGCGGAGAGCGCGCTCCACGTGTTCACGCGCGAGAGCTTCAGCTTCGAGGCCATGCGCGAGGGGCGCGAGAGCTGCGGGACGCGCGACGGCCGCAGAGGACGCAGGGATGCGGCGGGGAAGCGCCGGCACAGAGGTCGCGGGAAGGGGAGACGGGACGGAGAGGGGCTCGCGGAGGAGAGCGCGGGCAGCCACGGAGCGCACGGGCGAACACGGTGGAGCCGGCTCACCAAAGCGGCTGCTCCGGAGCATGGCACGCGGAGCAAGCGGTCGGTCTCTCGCGCAAGGCACGTGGAGCTGCTCCTGGTAGCCGACGACACCATGACCAAGAAATACGGCAAGGACTTAAACCACTACCTGCTCACACTGGCCGCCATCGCCTCCAAGCTGTACGGCCACGCGAGCATCGAGAACCCCATCCGGCTGTCGGTGGTGAAAGTGGCCGTGGTCACCGAGAAGGAGAAGGGGCTCGAGGTGTCCAAGAACGCGGCGGCGACGCTGAAGAGCTTCTGCAAGTGGCAGAACCAGCAAAACCCGCTGGACGACGACCACCAGCAGCACCACGACGCCGCCATCCTCTTCACCAGGCAGGTAAACAAAACTTCCCCTCGCTTTCCGCACCCAGCTACCTGTCCGCCTCCGTCTCCCGGCCCACACGGCGGAGAAGAGGCGGCTTAGCGCCCCCGGGTATGACGCCAAGGCGGCGGAGTGACGCCACGGGTTGTTTTTATTTTGATGGCGCACGCGGCGGCAGCTGTAGCAAAGCACTTGGCGGATAGAGCCTCGGGTGGCTTATTGAATAGATTATAAACAGCAAAACACACTGAGTGGAAACAACTGACGCACATCGTTGTTACATAACAGCAATAGCCGAAAAGCGACACATTAAGTGGTTGTTTCGGCCAACTGTGAACCATGTCGCCATTTGCATCACAGCCCATCAGAAGTGGAGACTGCACACGCTGCTTCCCACATGTCCCTGCTTGTCTCCAGCCCTTTTCTATATGCTTTCTTTCTCCCTCTCTTCTTGTTGCTGAATGTCTCGTGCGCAATGCAGCGCAGCAGCGTCTGTAAAAGTCCATTAAAAAAAACTGTATTTCCTGCGCCTGGTGTTTTTCTAGGCAGGCTCTTCTGTCTCCAGCCTCCCCCTCCCAGTCCCCTGACGGCCCAAAAGCCTCCAAGTCTGTGTGATCTGAGGCGCGTGCCCGAGGCCGTGCACACAAATTCTTCCCAAGGGAGGGGGGGGTGTTGAAATCAGCTGCTGGATGCATTGCAGAAATATCCCTAAAACTCCCTTGAAACTACCAGTTAATTAGGTAGTCATCCCGGCCCTGCAATTCCTCCCTCCCTTATCATTCCAGTCTGCACATTTTCCCCCCAGCTACTTTTCCAGCTTGTCAGCTGCTGGGAGCTGTCAGGAACAAACAAACACATCCACCCTGTGAGAAGCCCCACGTTCACCCAGACCACACTCATGCATCCCGTCCTTTTCCCTCCCCTCCTCCATCCCTCCCTGCCCGCTCGAATAAACGAAGGGCAGCGGCGGGTCCGCATGCATTTTTCACCTCTCCGGGTGTGGCTCCAATTCGACAGGTCAGACAGCCCTCCTTGGATCGCGGCGTGTTCGGCTCATGCAGGGTCTTGTCGTGGCTCGAGTGGGAGAAGGCGGGATTACCTCGAGATCTCCTGGCTCCCTGCTGCAAGTTGCCGCCATCGTGCATTGGCAAGGCAGCCGGTAGCGCATACCTGGGGTCAGCGGGCTGGCAAAGTGGCACAGTTCCTGCATGCCAACCACCTCGTGGCTCCTCACTAACACTGCTGCCGCTGCACCTGCAGAGGCAAGACTGACAGAGCCCAGACAGGAGATGGTGGTTTGGTTTGGCAGGGTCAAGAGGGCATGAAAACAGCAACCCAGAGACCTCTACGGTAGCCACTGGACAGGAAGGCAGAGAGTCCAACTGGACATGAAGCTAATGAAACATGACTGTGGACTTCTCTCTATTCTACTTGGGCTTTGATCCTATTAAAATGCCCACGCTCACCCTGAAAAAATAGCATCCACTTGATTTCAAATACTGTTTCATCTCCAAGCAGTCCATTTTAGAATGTCTTCTGTATCCAGACACAAAAAGATACGACCTCACAAAAGGCCAGTACATCAGCCAGTGCATTGGTGTCTCACCTGTCGCAGCGCTTGCATTATTTACAAACCTGTCTACAGACCGTCAGTCACACACATCTCACCTTCACAATACTGTAGCTGTCCTCCATGGCCCCTGCACCACAGCTGAGAAACCCCACGGGGCCGGGTCCTGATCCCTATCTGCGTGCAGAGTAAACACATAGCTAATGCGCACGACTCGACTCTGAAGGGTCGCAACCTTTTATAAGCCAAAGAAGGCAGCCACTTTAACTTTGACCTTTTGAACTCTCTGGCTATAAAAAGCCGTTTCGGCTGAGTGCTTGCATTGCCGTTTGTTTACCGTGTCGATCATTAGAGGAACTTTTGTTGTCATGGATGTTACTGATTCTGTTCAGATGTGTTACAGGAAATGCCCTAATATTCCATTGACTGTCGGAGGTGTCAAATAGTAGTTCACGTGAAAATAAATAACCTTTCCCATCTGTGTATTTGGAGCGACTGTGAAGTAGAACCCGATTATTGTAGCCCACTGAGCGAGAACTGAAGCTCATTGAAGACTTTGTGACCGTGAAGTCAGGCCAGTCCATTGTTCCCGTATGAGAGGAGGAGGAGGGGGAGAGAGGGAGGGAGGGGGCGGCGGGAGAGCACAGGGGTTGGAGGGGAACTCGTCTCTTTGTGGTCAGGTCCAATTACTCCAACACCCCGGGTACCCGCTGTGAGCTGACCCGTGTGGCGGTGTCACCCAGTTCCACACATACCAGCACCGGGGGAAAAAAACAAAACAACGAGGCTCATTGAGGGGACTGTTCCCGAGCTGTGTATGTCTGTGTATGTGGGAACATTAAGTGCCGTGCATGGCTGTGTTGGCTTGTTGTGAGCTCGGATGGCGGACAAAGCCCCACTGTAAGGTGGCCGCAGAGAGGGCTGCAGAAAAGCCGGAGAGATCGACACGCGTGTGTGTTCATGCCGCTGTCCGATGCTGCAGCAATAGCTCAGATGTGTGGATGGATATCGCTCGGAGGTACTTGTGATGCAAGTACCTCCTCCTCCATGTGTTTATGTGTGCGTCTGCGCATTAAAGTGTACATTTCCCAGCCCTCGCCCCCGTCACAGCTAGCCCCTCTATTTGTTTTGACTGTTCCTGATATTTCACACGCGCTACACTTCGTCTGGTGTATGTTGACAACCTGCAGACAGCCCCCTCGGATCCCAAAACCCTCGACGCCCAGGCTCTGTCGGCATACGCCAGACTGGTTCATCCTCCTCGTCACACCGCGATGCATCAGTGACTTTTAAACTGCACTCTGGCTAAAAAGCACTGGATAGCACGGGGATGAAATTATGTTCCGTCAATCACTCGCGACCAATCATCTGTGACCTTTACCGTCGGTGCCGGAGAGCTGGTTTTTGTTGCTTTTGATTAGCGGGTTGGTTGTGATCGGCCTGCAGGGCGTTTTCACCACACAGAGTGAGCTCAACTCTGCCAGAGAGGTTTGAGTGGGTGTCTGGGTCTGGCTGGCTTTTTGTTTAACACAAGCCTCGGCTTAGATCGCAAGTGGTCTTGTTACACACACACAGAGCTCTGATCGCCTCCTGACCTTCACGACCAGCCTGCCACCTGTTCTCCTGTTATTTCTGCCAATATTTCTGTAACTCCTTGTTCTCTCAGTTCTTCTCTTTAATATCCGGCATCCCACGCGTCTGATTCCTGTACTTATTTCTCTCTCCCGAGAGGGCCTTTGGTTGAAAACAAAGTTGGGTAAGAGAGTAGATGCTTTCACCGCGTCCAGGGAGGTGTACAGAACGTCGGGGTGAAAGAGTGTGGGAAACGGGAAAAGAGAAACAGACAAAATGTCAAGGCAATATTCTCTACATGTGCACACTGTCTGATTCAAAACAAACAGGTTTCCTTCCATCGTTGTCTCTAGCTTTTCTGCATGGGGGAAAAGCCAAGAGAAACTTCCGTGCATGCAGCGAGTGTGTTTGACTTGCTCTTTGTGTATCCAGCAGTCACTTGGCAGAAGCAGGCGCTCTCTTTCTGTTTTCTGTGTGTGCATCTATTTGTATCTGCTGTACATGCATGCATTTATATGCAGCCCTTTATTTATGTGTACCTCCTATAGTTATATGTGTGTGTGTGTGTGTGTGTGTGTGTGTGTGTGTGTCTGAGGTGGTCCCACCCAGTCAGTCATGTCTGTGTGAGTGTGAGCGCAGAACACAAGGCAGTTTGTCCCAAAACCTCGACCCGCCGGGCAACGGGGTAAACAGCCTTCCCAGAGAGGCTCTCACCCACGAGCCAGCAGGCCTATCAGCGCCACTTAACATGACGATTCATCCTCTTCACGGGAGAGAGAGAGCGAGCGTTGGATGTCCCGCGCACACACTGGCGTGCACGTTCGTCCATATGTTTATGTGCACCTGCACCCTGTTCCGTTCCCCTGCGTTGCGTGTGCACACGGGGCCACGATTAGCCGATTGATCCCCCCCCCCCCCCGCATGAAAGTCCAATAATTCAATGCCTGAGGGACTCAGCCAAATATCCACCCATTGAGTTTCTGTTGCATCCTGGTAACTGAGTTTCGGTTCACATTCATTTTGGTACTTGTTTATGTTGCATTTTTACCTATTCTGAGAGAGGTTATGTGTTCACAAGGATGAAGTCACTTCCTTAAAGAAATGTTTTCCACAATGTTTTGGGTCTTAATGTAGACTTACAGTACTTCCTTTGTCCAGGACCTCTGTGGCCACCACTCCTGCGACACCCTTGGCATGGCGGACGTCGGCACCATCTGCTCCCCGGAGAGAAGCTGCGCCGTCATCGAGGACGACGGGCTTCACGCTGCGTTTACTGTCGCGCATGAGATAGGTAGGCATGGATACACACGCACACAAGCAAAGATATAAACGCATCGGGGCATGCGCATCTGTCAGCACGTCTCTCGTGCTGATTAATATCTCGAGGGCGTTGTCTGATGTCGTACACCTAACACCTGAGTGCTCGGCGTGTTTGCTTTTCTCATTCTTGCTGCATGTGCAAACACCTCATCTCTCTTTTCTGTCGACTCCTTCCGTGCGTCCCAGGTCACCTGCTGGGTCTGTCCCACGACGACTCCAAGTTCTGCGAGGAGCGCTTCGGAGTGAACAGCGACAAGCGGCTCATGTCCTCCATCCTCACCTCCATCGACGCCTCCAAACCCTGGAGCCGCTGCACCTCGGCCACCATCACGGACTTCTTTGACGACGGCAACGGTGAGTGTGGGAGAAAACGCAGCGCAATTAAGGGCACGGTGAAACAAATTGGCCTTTCTTTGAACGGTGAGAACTCTTCCCAGCCAGCAGAAGTTTGATTTACAGTCCTCTTAACTTCTTAAAGAATGTAGCTGCACTGCAGCCAAAGACAAATCACCGGCAGCCAATCAAGATGAGTTATACCTCATCAGAAGGTGTCATTCATTATGGCCATAAAGCTTTGTCGGTTGGCATCCTGTCAGGAAAAAACTCATTGCTTTCGAAATGATTCATGTGATAACATATCTGCTGCTGCTCCAGCACTTCTATGAGTGATATGTCATACAGGCCAGCCAAGAGTATGCAGATTGCAGATTGCCCTTTTTAAAAAAAATCCCTCCCCCCTCTTTCCCGCCACAGCCGAGTGCCTCCTGGACTCTCCCCGCCAACCCCTGTTGGGCCCCGAGGAGCTCCCAGGGCAGAGCTACGACGCCGTCCACCAGTGCCGCCTGGCCTTCGGCCCCGAGTACACCGTCTGCCCGGGCATGGACGTGTGCGCCCGCCTGTGGTGCGCCGTGATTCGCCAGGGACAGATGGTGTGTCTAACCAAGAAGCTGCCGGCCGTGGAGGGAACGCCCTGCGGGAAGGGACGCATCTGCCTGCAGGGGAAGTGCGTGGACAAGACCCGCAAGAGGCACTACTCGGTAAGTGGCATCGGAAAGTGGAGGACGGGGAGATAGATTGCTTTTTATCGTCCAAAAACTGATATTTGAAGCACTCATTTCCACATTGTAAGAGCTTGTCTTTGGGAGACGAAAAAGGGGGGAATGACAAAGATGAAGTAGAAAGGAAAAGAACGAATGTAACGGGTTTCTTCATTGTGTGGTCTGCTGTATTTATGCCTCTGCTGATCTGTGCTAATAATCTCTTAGCCTCTAAATATATTCCTTGTCGTATGATTGCAGATGAAGTGGCTTTTACCGTGGAAAGTACTACTGTATAAAGACTCGACAGTGGAACTCAATGGAAAAGCTCTGCAGGATTATAAAATTTGTCTCCTAAAATGTTAAATGCTACTTATCCAGTCTTTTTCTTTTTTCATCACTGATGACTCATGTAGCGCTGCTTGGAAAAAACAAAGTAGGGACATTACCTTAAGAATTTCATTCAGGGGAAGCATGTGTGCTGCACCACGGATCCAGTCACCGTCTTAATGAGAGGCTTTATCACATGGAGATAGCCCCGTTCCTTTTCTGTCTCTTTTCCACACCACAATGCATGCCACATTTTTCTTTACATGTCCGATAAGCACTAATTGTCCTCTCTCATCTCCTCTTTTTTTTTGTCTTTCTTTCCCCTTCATCCCTCTCTCCTCTCTGATCTCTCCTCTGTCATTTCCTCCAACTCTTATTTCCTCTTTCATCTTCCCTCTCCTCTCCTCCGTCTCCCAGGCGTCCAACCACGGCAGCTGGAGTTCCTGGGGTCCTTGGGGTGTGTGCTCCAGAACTTGCGGAGGCGGGGTGCAGTTCGCCCAACGCCTGTGCAACAACCCGCCGCCACGGAATAACGGGCGCTACTGTACGGGAAAGAGGGCCATTTATCGGTCCTGCAACGTCACACCATGTCCACCATCGAGTGAGTGCGACAGCCTGTGAATGCATGCATGAGTAGAATAGCACAAGGTATTGTTTATTTATCATTTAGTTCTTCATTTCAACCCTCTTTTAATGGAACTTCTCTCTAGATAAGAGTTTCCGGCAGGAGCAATGTGAGGTGCGCAACGGCCCCCAGACGGATCCGAAAGGGGTGAAGACCTTTGTTGAGTGGGTGCCTAAGTACGCTGGAGTCCTCCCCAAAGATGTGTGCAAGTTGACCTGCAGAGCAAAAGGAACAGGATACTATGTGGTGTTCTCTCAGAGGGTGAGTTAGTAGAAAAAGAAAGAAAGACCGCACTGTATTTAAATATTTAAAGGAGCAGCGTGTAGGATCTAGTGGCATCTAGTGGTGAGGTTGCGGATTGCAACCAACTGAAAAACCCTCCCTGTCAAAGCTTGTTGGAGAACTACGGTGGCCTTCAGGTACAGTAAAAACAAAACGGAAGGCTCTCTCTAGAGCCAGTGCTTGTTTGTCCGTTCTGGGCTACCGTAGAAACATGGCGGTGCAACATGGCGGACTCAGTGAAGAGGACCCACACCCTATGCAGATATTAAGGGCTCGTACTAAGCTAACGAAAACACAACGATTCTTAGTTTTAGGGGATTATGCACTAATGAAAACATAGTTATGAATTCCATTTATGCTAATAGACCCCTAAATCCTACACGTTGGACCTTTTTAATGGAAATATAAAAATGTGGGAAATGATTTTGTGACTGCTTGTCTTCAGGTGGTTGAGGGGACAGAGTGTCGTCCATACAGCAGCTCGGTGTGCGTGAAAGGGAAGTGTGTACGGACAGGCTGTGACGGCATCATTGGCTCCAAGCTCCAGTTTGACAAGTGTGGTATTTGTGGAGGCGACAGCACAGGATGTATACGCGTTGTGGGCAACTTCACCAAGAAGAGGTAAGAAAAACAGAGGACTTCAAGAGTGCGTTATTCGTCTTCGTATCATGTGAATCTCGCACATACGGAGATGTGCCTCATAGGGGTGGTCTCGGTTCAGGGATGGTTTGCACACAAAGAATTCAGGAGAAAAGTATTATATATATAGTATATCTCATGAATTTGGAATATGCTGAAATGTTCGTATTAATAATCTTAATATTCTACTTTCTCTCTTGCCAAACAGTAAGGGCTACACTGACGTGGTGAAGATCCCGGCAGGCTCCACCCACGTCAAGGTTCGCCAGCACAAGGCCAAGGACCAGACCCGCTACACCGGCTACCTGGCCCTCCGACGGCCCAACAACGAGTACCTCCTAAACGGCAAGTTCATGATCTCCACCTCCGAGACAATCATCCCGCTCAACGGTTCTGTGCTCAACTACAGCGGCTGGAGCCAGAGGGACGAGTGGCTTCACAGCATGGGTCCCGGGGCCCTCCAAGAAGCCTTGGTGGTCCAGATTCTGGCGACGGACGCTAAAAAGCCCCTGGATGTTCGTTATAGTTTCTTCATGCCCCGACGGACAGCCCCACAGCAGCCGTCCGCTCCGCTCATCCCCAACCCGAAGTTGACCCCTGTTCAGAGCACTACAAGAGTCTCAAGCACCACCACCAGAACCACCACTACATCTTCCTCCGCTTCCTCTGTCCTGGTCCCAGGGCCACCGACAGCTCCCGGTCCCTCCACCCCAACTCCCGGGCCCCGTTGGGTAACGGGTTCCTGGATGACATGCTCCAGGACTTGTGACACTGGCTGGCAGAGCCGGACTGTGCAGTGTAAGGACCAGAATGGGAAACTGTCCAAGGGCTGCACGCTAGGTGCCCGACCCTCTGCCTTCAAACACTGTCTGGTGAAGAAATGTTGAGGCGGAAGGAGTTTAATCTGTACATCTGATAAAAGGTCTCAAGTGCTGGATGTAGGACTATGGACCAATACATTTAAGAACCTTAAACAGGACTGTGAAATTTGGCTGATAGCGCCTGGACCAGATACGCAGAGACCCAGAGACAGATTGTCGTGGATGTACCCGACTATATGCCAGAGGAATGTCCTGGAATCATAGTAGCTATGCAGAGCACAAGTAGAACGGTGGACAGTGTCTGTATGATAGTGGCAAGGAACACCCTGGCGTAGCCAACGACTTACATTGCATGTCTTTTCCACATGGACAGTAACTGATTGTCTTTACTAAGGTCTCCAAACCCTGGAGGCTCAGTGTGTGTTGCCCTGTAATGGCATGCCTGTCGTGTTGTTGTTTTTTCATGCTATTCTAATCACTGTGGGGAGTTGGAAGCACTCGTTATTCACCTTGTCGTCATGTCTGCCCGAATCGTAGCCCAGTCATTCTGCGTCCTCTTTTACTACCCTGACTTGGAAATTTCACTCACTGAACAGCTCGTAGAATGTTGAAATGATGAACTCACCGGATTAAGAAATCTTTGTAGCAACGAATCATGTCAAATCAACAATTGCTCAGGGTGTCTATTTCTTAAACCAACTTGAGTGCATCCTTGCCGTATTGTAACTGAAATGGTGCTCTCCTTACCTTCTGGCTGCCTACCAGTACTCTTCCCGTAAATACATTTATGAACCACTCAAAGACCGAAATGTCCAAAAGACAGGAGATATACATGATGGTCCTGGATCAGGGCTACCCATATGCCCCGACTATAAGCGCTCTGTGTCTTTGTTTGACGGATCTGTCCAGCTGAAAATCGAGAAGCAGCACAAGAAGAAGGGCAGACTTAACATGAACCATTTCCCATAGTGGTGGCCAAGAATGGATGGGTGAACCCAGACGTTTGGTTGATGGACGGTGCGTTGCGTCGCGTCCCAAATCCAATCAGTCTCGAACTATTCAGATACGTCTCAGCTCAAGTTGTTGAAAGGTTTCGGGAAGAAAGTCTACCCAGAAGACACAAGTCACCTGTGCAGCTTGTTGATACACAAGCATGGTGTGATGGGATGGAAGCGTACGGTGGCCTTCAAGGGACAAACTTTATAACAGTTAAATCGACAAAGGGGCAAAGTAACCACGACACTCCTTAACATTTATGGAGGTTAATGATGACTCACAGGTTTGGGGCAATGCTTGATTATTTGTTTGTGGGTATGTGTGTGTGCGTGTGTGTGTGCATGTTATGTGCTTGCACATTCATCCAGGCCTGTGTTTGAAGCACATACAGTATGAACCGTGAACGTGTGCGTCTTGAAGCTTCTTCCCTCTCAGTTCCGTTTGCATCAGTCATTATGCTGGTGCTGGGAGGTTTGCGACCCTCATGTTTTGTTGTGGCGGTCAACATCTGTTTGTTGGTCTGTTTATCTGTTTAGGAAGCAATAGTATGACAATGTGAGCCCTGGATACTCGCAACGACAGCAAGGGAGATACTAATGCCGTCATTAATGTCCTTTTGCAATTCACCTCCTTTTCATCACTCATTCTCTATTTTACTACTTTTGTTTTATCTGTTTCCCACTCTGGTGGGTGATGTCACATTACAAAAATTCAGATTGTGCCACAGAATAGATGATTTTAAAGGGTCAGTTCACCCAAAATACAAAGAATCGAGATATTGAGATATCCTTCTGGTGCAACCTGCCCAGTCAATGAATGGAATTCCCTCCCCGGCCGTAACAGCTTTGAAAAGTGACATTTACAATTTTCAGAAGAAAATCCAGAAACAATGCCTTGTTTACGTCAGACAATCCACAGACCTCACTGTCAACAATTTACGTGGAACTACTTCCTGCTATAGAAATAGTGCCGATACTCTGGGATACTGATTGTGGGAAATGATGTTGCTGTTGATTTAAAGAAATTGTTTGACACTTTGTTCATTTTCTTGCTGAGAATTAGATCTGAAGAGTGATACCACTGTCGTGCCTGTCCTTTTAAATATTAAGCTAGAGCCAGGAAATGGTTAGCATAGCTTAGCATTGAGACTTGAAGCAAGGGGAAAGCGATTGTGTCCAAAGAATCAAAATACACCTACCAGCATCTTTTAATATGGCTTAATATTGTTTGTTTAATTTGTGCAAAAATCGGAGTGTAAAAACAACAATTTGCCCATTTTAATGCTAAGCTAATGCACTGCTGGCTCTAGCTTCATATTGAACAGACATGTATGAGTGTGGTATCAATCTTCTTGTCTATCACTCAAGAAAGTTAATCAAAATGTCCAACTTACTTTTTTTACTAAGTAAAAAAAACAAACAATCTGCATCACTAAATGCCACCAGGTATAAGTGAGGAGACTTGCTTTTATGGTTATTTTGGGGACCTCGTTCCTTAAAATCCTCCACCAAATCTCACCATATCATGCTTTGATTTGGTTATTTAATCAAGGCTGCATTAAGAGTGTAGACAATGTACATTACATATCAAATGGACTAAAATACCTGCCTGTAATTGTTTACATTACATTACTTACATTTTCCTGTGTGGCAAGCCTCACCCATCTGGCACCTGTGCTGGAGAAAACAAACCATCAGGAAGGTCTTCAGATCGTACATGACCCGGGTCAACATACCACTCACACACTGCTCTCTCCTCTTCCCACACACGTTCAGATTTATTTACACAATGTAGACATTTTTTTGTACGATGAGTAGATCTTTCATATACGTGTTAGTATTCAACCATATTTACACAGAAATGCACACATGCAGACACACCGAAAACAACCCATCAGTTACAAAGCATTTGAGTATTTCAGAAACCCTCACACACACACGCACACACACAATCTACTCTGACTCTTCCAGTGGGGAAACCCCGCTCGCTGAACGACAGAAACACAGCACTGAACTTGTAATTTATTGTTTGTACAACTGGTATGTGTGTGTGTGAATAAAAAAAACAATGAGATGAGTTTTATTTATTATAGTAATTTTGTATCAAATTGCTATTTGACTTAGGAATACGACTGTGCAGAATCATTCCTTTGTAAGAATATAGTGTTTCTTTTCTAGTCATCCACATGAATATATGTACATAAAATCTATATATTTAAATATCTCCGTGTCTGTGTTGTTAATGTTGCCACGGCATCAATACATTTTATTTATCTTACCTGTGTTTTAAATGTTGCGAATCAATCACTATCCGCACACGCAAGTTAAGACAGGAGGACCATTGTCACTATGTGGCCTTTTGCCAGAAGCAATGGTGGAAGAAGTACTTAAATAATAATATTGCGATGCAATTATGCTCCATTTCATGTTTAAAAAACCCATTAAACTTAAGTAAAAGTACAGACCTAAACAATAGCAATATATGTAATATACAATGCAAAGTACATATATACAAAGTATCAAAAGTAAACATCCGCAGTGGAAAGTAGCTGTCAGTGGAGTAAAAAGTGCAACATGTCCATCTTAAATGTAGCGAATCAGAAGAAGTATAATGAAATGAATACTTGTACTTAATACTCAAAATTTGACTGAAGTACAGTTCTGAATACATATAAATATATTACCAGCAGAAGAAGGCCTCCTACAGCTTTTCAAATACACTGAACATCATTTAATGACATCACATTTATAGTTATTTAACATGTATGACAAATATTCTGTTACAGAATGGTTCAATTGCAATTACTCTTTTGGATTCCTGATGGTTCAACAATAAGCAAAACTCATGGGTCAGGATGGAACTTACTATAATTTAGGTTCAGATTGGAAAACAGCAGATTTCACAAACTCCAATTTCAATCTGACTCCCCAGTTAAAAACTGAATTAAGGAAATGGAGTTTGGTGGTAATCCAGTAATCTCTGCCAAACAAATTCACCCAGTTAGTTACTTATTAACTCCAGTGGACAAATGTCAGTCACGATCAGCTCTTTTCATCTGTCAGTCCACAAATTAAATAAAATAGAACAACATAGGATAGTTTCCAACTCCACTGCATTCATATGTCACCTAAATTCATCATCTCATAAACTTGCACCAGGAGCAGCAAAGCACGAGCAGCATTCTAAACACAGTACATCAGCGTAGCAGTGCTGCCTCCCTCAGGTCAGTGGCTCACGGCCCCGACCTTTACAAGCTCCCAAATGTGATGCTAAGGCGCCACCTGCCGGCTAAACTTGTGATTGGTCCATCTAGTCATGGAAAATCCCTCCAGCAGTCTGGGGAAATTCCATTACTCGTGCCTACCATCTTCTGGGAAATCATGAAATTACAACTATTCGCTTTTTATTACCAGTTGCTTTTAAGGTGGACTGCAATAATCTGTCCCTTCAGAGACTGATCAGTGAGTCACAAGTTACACACTGCAGTGCAAATTGTGTATGTGTTTATGTACTCATTAGAAAAAAACAGAGCAATAACATATTGTACTATTATATTCTCATATTTTCATCATATTAACATAACAACACATTACAATATTGAAGGAGTATTTTAGTTCACTTTCCCTAAATAGTTGGTCCTTAACAGTCTGATTTTAAAAGTGTTTTCACTGCTTTGAATTGAGTTTCACTTGGATGTGGTTTCTCCAGATAATATTATTTCTGCTTTCCAGTTATCTTTAATGAAACTCCAGCGTAAACTCGTCCCGTCTGTTCGAGAGAAGGAACAGTCCGGGTGGGTGGGGGGGGAGTAAACCGGAGGACAGGGGCTCTGTCTGCCCTGGTTTGAGCGCAGAGGCAGCCAGCTAGGAGAACCGCTCCACCTTAAGTCCTCAGCGGCCCCTCTCTGCTCCCGGGGAGCAGCGCTGCCGAACCCGGCCACGGCGCACCACAGCCGGCTTGGCACGGAGGAGGTGAGTACGACTCCTGGAGCCGTGGCCAGCACGATATTACAATTCCGGACCTGCTGCCATCTCCCTTCTCCAGTTGCACTGACACTACAACACTGCTCCACATCAACCACTAGTGCCTGTCACCCTGATTTATGTTGGAATGGACAGTTTAATAACAGACATGTAGCTCAGTGATTAATTAAGTAAATGTAAACTAATGTTACTTGGAAGCTTTTTGGGTAAATTGATCTATTAGATTATGTGACAAACATTATAAGAATATATTCAGTAGTAATATTCGTGGGTTATGGCTGTATTAGTACATCTTGTGACAGACTAGCAGAGTTTGAAGAAGAAAACTTTCTCTGCCCAAAGCTCTCTATCCTGCGCAGGGATTTGGCCCCTCTCACATCAAAGGGCCCTCAGGAAAGGGGTGGTCCCGAGGCAGGGGGATATATAGGAGGGACCTGCTCTGTTCTGACTGCAAGGCAAGAGCAGAGAACAGACTTAACGGGTCAGCAGAGGAAAACCTTCCCCCGAATTTAAACAGAGCTAGAAACTGAGACATCTGCTGAGTTTTGGAGAGAAGAGACCTGTTGGATTTACCACCGAGATCCAGCTTTTATTTTCATTTAATGAAAGGACTTTTTCTTGCAACAAGCCAGACCTGCACATAACTTTAAACGACTTTTGCACTGGATTTGATCCCTTTTTAGATTTTTATGCGTGTGCGTAATTTCGGTGACAGTTTTGTGGAAGTTCAAATACTTGGGGTTTGTAGCTTGTAGTGGAAAATATTTGAAAGGATTTATTTGCTTCCTCGTAGAGACTTTATTATCAATTTGTCTTTCCACTTGTCGGATTTCACAGTTGCATGATGAGGTTTTTAAACATTTCCATTGGTTTAATCGCCGCTCTGTGCGTCGGCGCGGCGCACAGCTCCTGGGAGGAGAGCACCGTGGTGCCGGTCAGAATAGACCCAATGGCCCGGTCAGAGAGCGAAACCGAACCGTGGCGGACTCTCTCCGTTGAGGAAAAGGAGAAGGAGGCGGAGATGAGGGAGTACCGGTTGGACGTATTTGGCAAGGAGCTGGTCTTGCATCTAGAGCCTGACCAGACCTTCTTGGCGCCCGGTTTTGTCTTCCACATTGTGGGGAGTCCTGAGTCCGAACCGACACGGGAACCCAAGAGCGGAGCCGAGCCGAGTTGTTTCTTCTCTGGCACAGTGAACGGAGAGGAACACTCTGCCGCTGCGCTCAACCTGTGCCACGGACTTCGGGGCGGATTCTACTTTCAGGGAGAAGAGTATTTTATTCAGCCCCTTAACTCGAGTGACTTCATAGGCACCGAGGAGGATGTCCACATGATACGCCGGAGAGGTCGGGCAGCTTTAGCTGAGGAGGGGAGCGCCAAGTGCGGGGTCAACGAGGACGAGGAGAGGGTGCCAAAGAATCTGGAGAGAGAAGAAAAGCACGGAGCCGCTAACGCAGACCAGACAGGTAAGGCTGCAGAAATACTATGCGCATTTTACGCGCTATTACTCATTTCATAGTCGACCAAACTGAACATATTTGACCAGCAACCTTAAAAGTGGCAATACACACAGAAAGGGTGATTAATTCACTCCGTAGAATGTATACAAAAACCAAATCACCTTTTTTTATATAAGGCTATAGTGTATACGCTGCCCAAACTGCTTTTAGCTGGAGTTGTGCCTGTGCCAATGAGCACAGCATGCACATTGAATCCCAGCTACCTTTTTGACAGCGCCGTCTGCGCACTCAGAGATGAGGAAGGGAGGGGAGGGGAGGGGAGAGGGGGGCGAAGTTCTGCAGGAGGGGAAAGAGGAGGAGTGGCGGAGGAAGGGGAGGGGAGGGGAGCAGCGGGGTTGGGGCCAGGCAGAGCCCGGTGGTGCTGAGACGTGTGAACTCGCCTCCTGGTACAACTCGCACCGGCAGACATTTTTCCCCAGAAAGGATTTTCTCCCTTCGCATAATTTTCCACCAGAGAAGGCCATTTTAGGAACGTGGACCCTGAGGAGGGAGGAGCCACCGGTGGTGTGACGCTGAGTTACGGAAGCCAGGCTCCTCCAGGCACATCCGGATCTCTCCTTGGAGCCTCCATGCCTCTGAATAAAATGGGCCTTTGTAGCTGCTATTTAGAACACTGGTCGGGTTTTGCAGTGTGCAGACTGTTCCAGACAAACTGAATGATGCTTATTACAAATAACAGTGCAGTAGTATCAGGACTGAATCCTGATATCTGCTCACATGACCTGTACCGTTTGGTCTGACTTCTGTGTCTCTCTTCTCTCCCTTCAGACCACCACAGAACCAGACGTTTTGTTTCCACCCCTCGCTACATGGAGATCATGCTCGTGGCCGACCAGTCCATGGCTGAGTTCCACGGCGCCGGGCTCAAGCCCTACCTCCTGACCATCATGGCAGTGGCGTCCCGCCTCTACCGCCACCCCAGCATCCACAACTCCATCAGCCTGGCGGTGGTGAAGCTGCTGGTGGTGTACGAGGAGGAGCGAGGCCCTCAGGTGTCGTCGAACGCCGCCATGACCCTCCGCAACTTCTGCCAGTGGCAGCGGCAGCACAACCCACCCAGTGACCGCCACCCTGAGCATTATGACACCGCTGTGCTCTTCACCAGGACGGTAAGTTGGAGTGGGGAGAAGGGGAAGCGTGTTAAAACAGAGAATGGATTAGTGATAGACAAGGAGGAAGTGAAGCAACATTCAAGAGTATTCAAACATTCATTTTGCTCTCTATCTGACTGTTTAGGACCTGTGTGGCGCCCACTCTTGTGACACTCTGGGCATGGCAGATGTTGGCACCGTGTGCGACCCTGACAGAAGCTGCTCAATCATTGAGGACGATGGGCTGCAAGCAGCATTCACTGTGGCACATGAACTGGGTAAGTGGAAGCAAAACATCTTCTCAATAATCACATATGCCACTTTTACAAGAGGTGATCAAAGAACGTTCATGTCTGTCCTCCAGGCCACGTCTTCAACATGCCTCATGACGATTCCCAGCTGTGCTCCGGGATCAACGGTGTCCACTGGGGCTCCCACATGATGGCCTCCACCCTGTCCAACCTGGACCAGCATCAGCCGTG